ATGTGCAGAAAACTTGAAGCATTTGAAATGTAGCTATATTGGAGAATTTTTAAGCCTCCGTGGAGTGACCGATTCACAAATGAGGAGGTCCTCAGAAAAATGAATAAGAACCGAGAGGTACTGACCACCATCAAATCTCGAAAGTTACAGTTCTTTGGACATATGCAAAATGAATCCAGATATGCTCTCCTTCGAGCCATCCTGCAAGGAAAAATATTTGGAAAACGAGGTCCAGGAAGAAGAAGAACATCTTGCTTAAAGAACCTCAGAATCTGGTTCAATACAACATCTGTGCAGCTTTTCCGCGCTGCTGCAGATAAGGTAAAGATTGTTGTGATGATCGCTAACATTCGTAACGAATAGGCACATCAAGAAGAATATCAGAGGAAGTCAAGGGGTGGCACCAATTTATGCCATAATGAGAGATCATAGGTTAGGTTAGATTAGGTTAGGTTAGGTTAGGTTAGGTTAGGTTACAGTTAGGTTAGGTTACAGTTACTACAAGAAGGACGACAAAATTTTCAATACGAAAATGCAAACAGAGCCATACGATCAGAATTCATTGAATTGAACATGACAGATATCGTAGAAGCGATAAGATCTTTTAAACTTAAAAAAGCGCCAGGCCCAGGAAACATCTCACCAGAATTTATTCAATACGGCTCAGCTAAACTGTGGGAAATGCTCAAAGATCTGTTCCAACGATGCCTGAATGAAGAAGAGACCCCGTTAGAACGGCGTGAGGCCTATATAACCCCAATATACAAAAAAGGAGCACGAAACAATGTCAGAAACTATAGAGGAATTGCTGTCATCCCCACTATAGGACGACTGTACTCCCGAATACTTAGAAACCTCATAGAAGAAGACATTCGTATGAAACAACCAGAAGAACAATGCGGATTCAGAGCTGGAAGATCGACTATAGATAATCTATTTACACTTAAAATATTAATCGAAAAGCGATAACAAAGAAACAAAGAAACACATATTATAGCCCTGATAGATCTTGAAAAGGCATATGATAACGTGCCGATAAATAATTTATGGAGTGAAATGCAAAACATGGAAATAAAACCTTCGTTAATATTAGCAACTCAAAAGTGGTATGTAAACAACACCGCGTCAATTAAAATAGGTGGCAAACTTAGTCAGAAATTCAACACTACGAAAGGGCTACGACAGGGATGTTGTTTATCACCTACGCTGTTTAAAATATATCTGGATCGATCTCTACAAAAGTGGCAAAGACAATGCAGAAATATGGGAATACAAATAGATGAGGATATTCTCTATACACTATTCTTCGCTGATGACCAACTGGTGGTAGCAGAAGATATAGACGACCTCAGCTATATGGTTAGGAAACTACAAACAGCGTACGAAGAATGTGGACTGACAATGAACTTACAAAAATGCGAATATCTCTCAGTGGGGAAAAATACAGTCGAAGACCTGACATTGGAGAATGACAAAATCAAAGGAACAAATAGAGTAAAATACCTAGGAGTAGTGTTTACAAAAGACGGAAATAGCCATGAAGAAATAAATACAAGAATAAACAAAGGCAGAAACATTACCAAATGCCTAAACTCCATTCTCTGGGATAAAAAAATCACAAGAACGACGAAAAAACGAATATATAAGACGATGGTTGAGCCGGTGGTAACATACGGAGCAGAGATATGGGACACTAGTAAAAGAAACAGGAAAAAATTACAAGCTACCGAGATGGATTTTATGAGAAGAAGCTGTAGATTGACAAGGATGGACAGAATCCGCAATGAAGAAATAAAACGTAGAATGGAGCAAGAAAAAGACATTATAGATGAAGTCCAGAAAAAACAACTAACTTGGTTCGGTCACGTAAACAGAATGGCAGACGAGAGGTGGCCAAAGAAAATATTAAAATGGATCCCAACCGAAAGAAGGAAAAAAAGGCGTCCAAGAAGAAGCTGGCGAGATGACGTGAATGAAGCCATAGAAGGAAGACAACTAAATGAAGCCGACACCCGAGATAGGAAACGATGGAAACTAGGGACAGGAAAACAACGACAGTTGTAAACAACCTGTACTATATAAAATGAGAGATCATACGTTGAGATGGTCTGGTGATGTTCAACGTCGAGATGATGACCTACGAGTTGCTAGAAGGAGTAGAAGATGAAGACCAAAGAAGACCTGGAGGAGACGCTTAGGCAGAACATGTCAGTAAAGGGGATTACTATTGATATAACCCAAGATATAAACTTTTCTAGAAATGTAATTAAGCATAGGGATAAAGGAAAAGAGAATGATGCTGAGTAAAAATTATTTACGAAAAGAAGATAACCAACAATAGGAAACAAACCATTCTTCACCATCACAATTAATTTACCACTTAGTCTTTATTCAGTTCCCCAAATTTGGCCTATGAAGAACCTATGGGTTTCCCTATGAAAATTAAATTATTGGTTCTATCTCTCTTCAATCCTGACCCCCCAGGGGGAGTGTAGTGGTCGACGTGATGTCGTGTATTGTCCGTCTACAGAGATCTCTGTCTCTGGTCATTTCTTTTAATTCATGCATAGGTCTTTGGCATATTCCTGTAATTTGATCTATCCATCTTGTTGGGGATCTTCCTCGTGATCTTCGGCCTTCTACCTTTCCTTGTATTATGAGTCTTTCCATGTTTTCTGTGTTTGCTCTCATAACATGCCCAAAATATTTTAATTGTTGGAGATGGACTTTACTAGAGAGTCGTTGGCTAACTTTTAGCTCTCTTAAAATTGAATTATTTGTTCTACGGTCGGTCCAAGGAATTCGTAACATTCGTCTCCAACAGAACATTTCAGTGGCGTCTATCTTTCTTCTCTCCGATTGTCTCAGAGTCCAAGATTCACATCCGTAGGTCAGTATTGGGAATATTAAGCAATTGATCAACCTCATCTTTATCGCTCTTGAAATTTGACAGTCCTTCCATATTTTGGTCATTTTTGCTGTGGCAACTTTTGCTAGATCACATCTACGTTTAATCTCTTCTTGTAATGACCCTGTGTTTGTGATTAATGATCCCAGATATATGAGCTCACAACCTCGAACCGGTCAATTGTGGTTATGTGTGGATGATTGTTGTGTAGTCTATCCACTATCATGATCTTTACCTTTGATATGTTTAATTGCAGACCAAATATTGGACTTTCGTTTTCGATCAGTCGTATAAGTTCTATCAGCTCTGCTTGACTATTTGCAAGAAGGGCTGTGTCATCTGCGAAACGTATGTTGTTTAGTTTATGACCATTTATTGAGATGCCCTTTTCCCATCCTTCAAGTGCTCTTCGCATAATATACTCCCCATATATGTTAAATAATTGTGGAGATAGTATACATCCTTGTCTGACACCCCGTTCTGGATGAAATTCGTTCGAAAGTGTGTCAAGTACTTTAACTGATCCAGTAGTGTGTTCATATAGTTCGGTTATAAGCGTAATTAGATGTTGTGGCACGCTTACTTCTTTTAGTATTCGCTATAAGTGTCTCCACTTGACCCTGTCGAACGCTTTACGGTAATCTATAAAATAGATGTATAGTGGGATGTTGAAATCCCTAGATTTCTCGAATTATTGGTTACTCAAAAGTAATCTGTTTGTTACTATTGTTTACTACAGAAGCGTCTAGCTAGAGGAACCATACTGGTACTTGATAGATTTTGATGTACATGACTACGCCATGATAAGCTTAGAGAGATTCTTGAAAGGAAGGACATATATAATAAAGATCTGCGAATAATTCTCAATCTATATTGGAATCAGAAAGCTAACATGAAAATAGAAACTGAAACATCACAAGCAATAGAAATACGTAGAGGAGTACGACAGGGTTGCATTTTGTCACCTCTGTTATTTAATGTATATAGTGAAAGCATCTGTCAGGAAGCCCTTTTACAAGCAAACGGAGGAATCGTAATTAATGGAGAGATTGTAAATAATATTCGATACGCGGACGACACTGTACTAGTTGCAAGAACAGTAGAAGAATTACAAAGATTACTTACAGACATAAATATTGCTTGCAACAATTATGGTATAAATATCAATATTAAAAAAACCAAGTATATGGTCTTCAGTAAAAACATGACACAACCAGCGTATATTAGTATAAACGGCACTCAAGTTGAAAAAGTATCAAGTTACAAATACTTGGGAACTTTAATAAACGAAACTGGAGACCAAAACAGTGAAATAAAAAGACGTATCGAAATTGCCAGGGCCACCTTCATAAAGATGAGAAAATTCTTCTGCACAGAAATATAAGCATCCCTCTACGATTAAGAATGCTGAGAGGCTATGTATTTAACACGCTATTATACGGTGTAGAGGCCTGGACTCTCAAACAGAACAACATGAAAAATATTGAAAGTTTCGAGATGTGGTGCTACCGTCGAATGCTGAAGATTAGTTGGGTTGAAAGAATAACAAACTGTGAAGTAATACGAAGAATAGGAAAAGACCCAAAGATTTTGTTAACGCTAAAGCGAAGAAAACTCGAATATTTTGGTCACCTGATGAGAGGACATAAATACGCATTACTTCAAAATATAATGCAGGGAAAAATAGAAGGAAAACGGAATCCAGGCCGTAGAAGAATGTCATGGTTGCGGAATTTGAGAGAGTGGTTTGGCTGCACCACTAATGAACTCTTTAGGTCAGCCGTAAACAAGGTCAGAATAGCCTTGATGATTTCCAATCTCCGATAGGAGTGGCACAAAAAGAAAGAAGAAGAAGATGTACAAAAATAATCGCTTTCCCTAAAATTTATCGATTCATCCCGGTAGGAAACAGATGCATTGGTTTATTTTGTATACTGGCGTATATTTGGAATTGATATTAAACATGCCTCTCACCGGAAAATAACAGTTACACATTCAGAAATAAGTACCCCACCTTTTGTGAAAATTCGTTCTGGAAAACGGCAAGACCAGTGGGGTCTATATAACCATTTACTTAAGAATTATAGCCTCTAGTATCGTAAATCGTTCAACTCGTAAAATTTATTTTTGGAAATATATAAAAGCACAAGAAGATCTGTTTCAGGCAGTAGGCGTACACTCCCCCAACACAAGCTTTGTCATTTTTTTGTTTCGATTCTGCAATACCTAGTTCGCCAAAATGTCTGCTGTAAGTGCGATTTTTTATTATTACTACCTTTTAATTATAAAACAGTGAGTGCCAAATGTATAGTGAGGTGAAGTGAAAACAAAATTGTAGGAATTGTTCAAATATGATATGCCGAAATGTTTACCCTCTAAATTACGATATATCGTCGGTAACCTGGCAATATCTCCTATGTGACTTCACTTAAACTTTTTAGGAAAGACAAAAAACTTTACAATTATAAAATTTTAACATATTATTTCAATTGTTTGTTTGTGTTTTATGATCTATGTGTTGTTCTGAAGCTATTTTCTTGTGGCATTATAAATTAATTACTATTTAACTGAAAATAAGCCACAATTAAAGATAAAAATACGTTTATTGATGTTTCAATTTCCACTTCGGAAATCGTTCTCAAAATACAAACAGTAAATTAAACAAATTTTGTTTTTTGTTACATAGTGAAAAATTCTTCTAATAATTTAATTTTATCTGACTCATTTATATTGACAATTCACACATACATTATGCATTTTAAAGTAGACGACTTTAAAATGATATTGCCAATATTGTTGAGTTGCGCTCCTGGGACGACTTTACTTATAAGATAGTTCATTCGATTACATGAAATCAACTTTAACTTGAGAATATCCGTCAGAAAAATAATCATAGCATGTAATTGGTCTTTAAAAAGACAAACACATGACATGATGACAGTAAAATTCTCCTGTTAGTGATTCCATAGTAAATTATGAGGGAAAAACCAGGAAAAAAACCTCACAATACTATCCCGACATGGTAAGTATTTGTTCGTGCATTTAGTTTACCTTCAATAAACACCAAAATTCTGATTTTATATGTTTCGTTATTTAAAAAACATAAATGATGTATCCTCTATATGTTACTGACTTACTAATACTGGTATTTTCTTATTAATAACTTCCTCTTTCAATATTGGTAACCAGATCCTACTACATTCTGATGTTATGATATAATCATATTCAAATATGTAAACACGCATGGGATAATGAACATAGGATTCAATGGAATAATTCAAATGTAGTCCTAAAAGAGACGGATGGTAAAAAAAGAAAAATCAAAGAAGCGGCTTTAATTATGCTAAATGAGGCCAATTGTGTCGCAAATTCCTCGACAGAATGTAGTAGGATCTGGTTACCAATATTGAAAGAGGAAGTTATTAATAAGAAAATACCAGTATTAGTAAGTCAGTAACATATAGAGGATACATCATTTATGTTTTTTAAATAACGAAACATATAAAATCAGAATTTTGGTGTTTATTGAAGGTAAACTAAATGCACGAACAAATACTTACAATGTCGGGATAGTATTATGAGGTTTTTTTCCTGGTTTTTCCCTCATAATTTACTATGGAATCACTAACAGGAGAATTTTACTGTCATCATGTCATGTGTTTGTCTTTTTAAAGACGAATTACATGCTATGATTTTTTCTGACGGATATTCTCAAGTTAAAGTTGATTTCATGTAATCGAATGAACTATTTTATAAGTAAAGTCGTCCCAGGAGCGCAACTCAACAATATTGGCAATATTATTTTAAAAGTCGTCTACTTTAAAATGCATAATGTATGTCTGAATTGTCAATATAAATGAGTCAGATAAAATTAAATTATTAGAAGAATTTTTCACTATGTAACAAAAAACAAAATTTGTTTAATTTACTGTTTGTATTTTGAGAACGATTTCCGAAGTAGAAATTGAAACGTCAATAAACATATTTTTATCTTTAATTGTGGCTTATTCCCAGTTAAATAGTGATGATCTATGTGAAAGCAACATTTTTACTTCTTATGAAAAAAGTTCATATTTAATTGAATTTAGTTTTGTTAAGCTAGATAGGAGGTATATATATAGGTATTATATTTATTAAAATTAAGCATAAATGCCCTTTTAACCAAATAAAATTAAATAATTCTTTGAAATTAAACATTAATTAAATTAAACAGTTTTATTTATGATAATATAAAACACGTATTATTATAAAAGACAATATTAAAACTTCGAAAAACAACAAACAACAATTATTTCATAAGTACAATGTACATTTTAGGTAGGTATGTCTAAACGAACAAAATAAAAAGATCTATCCGTGTAAAAGGCCATCATAAAATAAATGAGAATCTTTCGGTGGGGTCGATTTTAGATCTTGTAAATGTTGCCATTTCTCCGTTTTTATTTTAGGAGGTGATAGAACTAAAGGTGGATAGTCCAGAATTGTTGGCATGTTCTTTAGTCTTATAGAGACTTGCAAGTATTCTCCTTTATGATCAGTTTTTATTTCTATGGTCCCAACTGGATCGTATTTAATACATTTTATATCAGTAATGGTTGGGTCATACTCTTTTCTTCCTGGTCGGGTTGAGAAATATCGCATGTGGTTGGAGGATGGATAGTCTTTAAAAAACGTATGGTCTAATATTTTGACTCTATATGACTTAGTTCCCTTCCTTGCTTGAGCTGTAATGGAAGCATAGTCACTGGGTAGATGGATTTGCTTATTTTTAAGACTCCTTTCGATCATACTATGTACCGAGTCAAATTCCATCTGAGAGTGACTAGGTTCAAGATATTTTTGAAACACTAATACATTATGTTTGATAGCAAAATTTAGTAAAGCGTTGGCCAGGACATTATTACGATTTTGATAATCGCATCCATCAGAATAAATAACTACTGGCGTTTTGGAATCGATAACACAGTTCTCCTCTAAATAATGTATGATACAGGAAACAAATGTGGATGCTTTGAGCTGGTTGTAAACTGTGAAGTTATGTCAGGACAATTTGGTTTTAAATTACATTTTGTTCGGTGGTGTATGAGCACAATTTTACGGCTTGGAGGTCCATTGTTAGTGCTATTATTTCAGCTTTTTCACTTATGGCTTTATCCAAAGTTTTAGCCTCTCTGACATCTTCCTTTCTCTTTATATGAGCTCTATATACTTCATCAGTCGTATTCTTATATTAAAATGCAAAACAAATATTGCATTGGTCTTTTTATGTGTATATAAAGCGAAATTATTCTCCTTAAATCGTTTTCAGAATACATTGCGACGTAAAGGAGTTATATTCGATTCTTGGTAAAAACTGTTTACATAAACATCATACAAATCTGACATACTGTTAAAAGAATATTCTAATACAATTTTTGTATTTCGCTACGACAATAGTGTGAAGGAAGCTTAGGTAAACTCTCAAAAAATTGTTCCAAGTATTTATGACTTTCTGTATACCTAGTCTTTACCATTTTCTTGGTAGAAACACGTGATGCGTCGTCAGTCATACATCAAAAACTATTATCCACCCAATAATGAATGGTTTTATAACCTATATCTAATGTAATTGTGAACATGCTACGACATACTTATAAGTTTTCATTCCCGTCATGTAAGTAGCAAGTGTACGTACCTTGTCTTCTTGAATTTTCCTTGTTTGATTTAAATGTTTTAGTTTTAAATACATGAGATGCTACAAAGACCTAACGTTGATCCCAAGTCATACCTCAAAAGTTCTTAAATATATGACTTCTGCACTGTTCTGTAAATTCCTTGCAATATCTTAATTTGGAATTTCGACATTTTACTGACGTACACGCCTCTTTTAAAGGTTTCGCTTTTCTTTGTATATCTTGCTTAATCTTTCCGAATTTTTTACTAAACCCCATGTACCTATACCTTCCATTCGAAGTTTTTTGTTTCTGTATCTTCTCCATTGATTTTTATTCTGACTAAGCTTTCTTTTTTTCTTCATGGTAACTTCATTATCACTGGTTGTTTTCATCAGATTTTCTTGAACATTACTCATATTTGTAATTTCATTAGTCTCGTCTTCGTCAATAAAACATTCCTATGGCACAAGAGATACGATCCTTTTATTTTGTTCAATTGGCGATAGTATTTGTTTACTTGTTAAATTATCTAACACGAGGTTTATAGAATTATTGGTATCACAACTGCTGTTATTAAAAAAATGCATTTCTTTAGATACACTTGGTATAACACAATTATTATTATCCGCTAAACAGTCTACTTCGTTAAAGTCTTTTAAGCAATCTGTTGTTAACTCAAAGTTTTCCAGCTCCATAAAATTTTGCATTGCTGTAAGCGTAGTACTAGTATGACTCTCTTCAGACAGAGGTTCTTCTAATAGCATAACTGAAGTGTATTTTCTATATTTAGGTTTTACCATGCATCGATTTCATCAGAGTTTGTCAGTTGGTAAACTAGTAGAGTTTCTATTTGGTCGCTTTTATTTACAATCAAGTTTTCGTTAGCCATTGAAAGTATACGCAAAGTTCTCTTCGACATAATTACTATACAATTATTGAGACAAACAAATTCTCCTATTAGTTAATCGCTGTTTGTTGCCTACTTGCAAATTCTCCTATCTGAAAACAATTATAAAAGCTAGATTTTCGTCTATGTTTATCGTTTTAGTTTAGAATCTTATTACTTTAAATTTTATAATCACATAATAGTACCATTAATATGTAAATAATATCCTGTAAAACTTACCAGAAATATCGTATTTCGTTGAAAAACAACTCATCGCGTACTAGCATGCAATACCCTATGACTACACCATACAAACTGACAAGATAGGACATTTTGCATATAGTTTACCGCGTGAATTTATATAGGAGAAATTACAAGTAGCGTTTTTATATATTAACAAAATATATAATCAATTCTTGAGTTGTTTAAAGTTCTTCTTTAAATGATCAATGGAATCAAATGCCTTTTTTGAGGCATAATGGTATATTGTATTCATTTGACTTATTTCTTAATAGATTAACGGCCAAAAAGTGGTGATATGAGTGGTCATATTATAACTTCTAGAGCGATATTTATGAGGGTCCCTATTTCTTTAAAGATCTATTATCACTCTCTTAATTTTTCTGCCAAATAAAGGCAGTGAAATTTCCCGTTATTAATCTCTGTTGACAATTTACTTTATATTAGTCGTTTTGATTATCTCGTCAT